GGGACTGCAGGGCACTGTTTGGACCTACATACCAGAAAGAAGCCCTAGCACAGCAGTCAGGAGCATGACTCTTTGTGGCCGCAGTTCTGAGTGCAGGCTGAGGAGCAGCTCTGGAAAATTCATGTTCCAATGGGAAAAAAAAAAAGAGAAAAAAAAATAAGAAAAAAAAATGAAGCTTAATGCACTGCTGTGTTAGGTGAGTCCTAAGTGGAAAATTCCAGTTTGAACTCAAGTCTTCTTTCTGGAACCCATGTCCTTCTATAGAGTCTGGCCCTTGTAACTTAAAAAGCTAAGTTCTGGATCCAAAGATCACCCCACCCAGAACTGTGATACATTTATATTTTCAGGGATAACCTCACAAATGTATTTACTTGTCACCATATTTGCTCTCCTTGCTTAAGATAATCCTCCAGTACAATAGGCAGAAAGAGAACAAAGGTTCCGTTTTGCCTATGTGTGTTCTTAATCATCCCAAACCTCTCTCAGAGCCTCCCAGCCATGCAGAATTACTGTGCTACAAGCCTATAAACACACAATGACCAACATCCCTTGGCTAACAGCTGTCAGCACAGTATCTTCAATGTATTTTAGAATGATTATAGGCTTAGAAAATCTTATGAAGAATTAGAGTATTCACTTCCTAATGAGGACACCTACAGTGCAAGGTGTGACTGACTCAGGATGACAGTCAGGGGATTGTGCTCCCAGGAGAATGCAGACTCCCAGCACTCATCCTCACATTCCAGATATCTAATCTCACCCACCCACATGGTACTGCAAAGCCCAGTAGGGAATTATTTATAGCACATACAAGAAAAGCAAATGCTGCCCAGTGAGAACACAGTGAATTCGGTGCACAAAAGCACGTGTCTGAAGCACATTCCATATTTGTATTTGCTCAAGAGGTTTTATTCATTTCACAAGCACAGAGTAAGAATTTAATAAGCTTTCATCCAATGCTGAGCAAATCAATACTGCAAAATCTGGGGGGGGGAACTCCCCTCCAATTTTTTGTGTGAAGCTACTTAGATCAGTTAATTTTCTCAGACTTCAGAAAAGATTCAGCAATGAGGACCCTTGTGGCTCCTCTCCCCTCACACAGGGCTCTCAGATCACTGAAGCCTGAGAATGTTTCTTGATCTGTCAGGAAACTCAAACACCAAACGCAGACAGCTCAGTTTAGCTCTGTGCAGTGCCATAAAACGTCTGTGCAGTGGATGGCACCTGGGTTGTCCTTCCACAGCACAAAAACGTTCTAAGCAAAAGTCTTTTTGCCTGCTGAACTCTGAGCATACAGGGGATCTTTGTGCTCACCTGCACAACAGCTTTCTGTCCGTGGCAAGAAAAGGGCCTTTCACCACACAGCCCCAGTCTCTAACCATGGCAGGACACAAGGAAGTGACACACCATTTCCAACACCCATTTCACCCTTTTCTGCCTGAAAGCGTTGCTTTGCATTACTTCTGTAACCATGTAGCCCAACCACGCACAGTACAGCTACATTTTTGTTTCCAAAAAGAAAAATTATTGCTTCAGTATACTGCTACAGTTAACCTGGAAAAGAAGCTGCAGTCTGTCACCATTTTCATGAAGTTACTTGTATGCCTGTAATTCACTTTTATCGGCTCCTTTTGGCCTGAGTAAGATCTTCAGGGGGTGTCTGAAGGTCTGAAGGCCAAAAGGAACTGAGAACACAACACAGACTTGTGGAAACTTCCGGTATCTGTCCTGCTATCAAGTGGCTGCCATAAAATTGAGACACTAGAGGTTCCACACTACTGAGATCTGATGCCTTTTGCAGATTATTTCTGGGTCCCACCCAGCACTCTCTTACTGACCCTCCGCCATTTACAGGCAAGGCACCATCCCAATGCTGGACGCAGTGCTGGCAGCACGGGGTGAGTTGCACCTCCACGCATCCATCCCAGAACACAGACACTCAGCAAGAGAATAACGGGCTGCAAAGCTCATTATCCTGGGCTGAGATAACGCATCACAAGCTAAAACTCAGACCCAAGCAATAAAGAATAGAAACTAAATAAAAAATAAGTGTCAGTTCTATGACACCAATGTCAGCTTTCCAGATTACTTCTCTCGATGCCACTGGCACATTTAACCACCTCATACTATCACCACCCAGGCTCACCCCACCCACCTGCTGGACACGAGAAGTTTCAGACATGCACTCAAAAACTGGCGTATGAACACACGAGTGAAAGAGGCACGAACACTGTGAAGAGATGGGGAAGAGAAGCAGGTGAAGTGGAAATCCAAGTTCTGCAAGAACCACTTTATAGAATCGCAGAAGCACCAAGGCTGGAAAGACAACTAAGATCATTAGTCCAACTGCCGACCAACGCTCTAAGCCTTCTCTGGACGCGCTCCAGGGGCTCACCGCACCTCTTTCAGCACGGGGCCCGGAACGCAGCGCTGCAGACACAGAGGAAGTGCGGCCCGAGGCCGGCCCAGGGCTGCGCGCTGCGCGAGAGGCGGGCGCCGAGCTGCGGGGAGGGAAACGCGCCGGAGCACAAAACGCACCCACTTTTTATACTCCTGAAACCGCAGTGTTCGCGGAGAGCGTATCGTTTAGAATGACAGCGGGCGTTGAAGTATCCAGGATAAGGAAACGGATCGGTTTATGTAAATCCAGTGCCACCCTCTGGATCCGAACGGCGCTTCCCTGCGAGCAGCTCACTTCGCTCCGCCGCTCCCCCCAGCTCACGCCGCGCGCTCTCCTCTCGGCTTCGCCACTTTCGGTTTTTTCTTTCCTGCCGGCTCGAAACACCGCAGTCGAAGACCCTCCGCAAAACGGGCCGCGGAACGCCGAGCCCACCGCAGAGCCGCGCTGACAGGGAGGCTCGCACCAAGTTCACACCGCGAGCCCCGCTTCGACCGCCCCGCTCCGCCCGGCTCCGCCCGGCTCTGCCCGCCGCCAACTCACCACGGCGTGCGGCTGCTGGCCGCGGCTCCGGAGGCTGCAGGCGGCCCGGCAGCTCCCGCCTCCCCGCCGCGACCCGGAGCCGCCCCCGCCGCGCCTCCCGTGGCCGCCGGAGGAGCCCGGAGCCGGCCCAGCGCGGAGGGACGGGCGTGCCCCGCCTCGCAGCCCGGCCCGAGCCCCGCGCTGCCTCTTGGCAGCCCTCGGTGCCCCTAGAGATCTTGCTCGTGAGAAACAACAACGGGCAGCGGGGCCCGGCAGCCCTCACCCCGCCTGTGCCTTCACCGTCAGCGCTTGGAGTGAGCAATGTGTCTGCTCTCACTTAATTGGCTTTTTTTTTTTTTTTTTTCCCATGCAAAGGCACTGGTAATGCTTCAGTTTTTACTTTCTAATTCGTTCCATGTGTGTTCTGAACTACCAGCGGCCTGACAAAGCCTCGTGCAGAGTTACTCGTTGTAATCTCCTCCACAAAAAGAGCAGCCCAAAAAACTGAAGAGACAACTAACCGGAAGAACTCCCGTGAACAATCTGTGTATTTGCTAATTGAGCCTCTCCAACTTTTAAATTCAAACATTAATAATTTGTTGGTAATATTAAGCAAAATGACCTGAACTTTCCATGGCTACTATAGTTATGGATATCGTAACAGGCTGTTACAGAATCACAGAATTGTTGGAGTTGGAAGGGACCCTTAAAGGCCACCTGGTCCAACCCCCTGCAATGAACACGGACACCACAGCTCCATCAGCACTCAGAGCCCCTCCAGCCTGACCTTGCGTGTCTGCAGGGATGGGGCACCTCAGGGTAACCTGCACCAATATCTCACCGCTCTTATTGTAAGGAACTTCTACCTTACATCCAATCTAAATCTCCCTCTTCCAGTTTGAAACCATTTCCCCCTGTCCTATCACAACAGACGCTGCTAAGAAGTCTGTCTCCTCCTTTCCCTTAGTCCCTCTTTAGACACTGACTCTGCTTTGGGGTGCCGTTGATACTCACTGCAGTGTTTCAAGTTGTTTGCTTCGGTATCCAGATCTGTCTGGGAAGCATGTCCAGCTATGAGGAGCATGGACTCTCTGACTGTTCCCTACTGCAAGAGCTCAGTACTCTTTTTTTATCTTCCCCTGGACTAGGGGGTCATGGTCACAGTAGCTGAACCCGCTTCCCTTCCCTTCCCTGTTTGTACTGAAGAACTACATTATCATGGCATAATCTGAAATCGAACATTGCCTAATATTTGCATTTCATGTGGAACCTTGAGCTGCCAAACACCACGTCAATATATGAATGGAGAAAGCAGTGCTAAAGATCTTGTATTTAAGATCTGTCATTCTGTGGAAATACAGAGTACTTCAAATATGTCAGATTCACCCTTGCCACAAGGCTTCAACTGGAAGTGACGGTAACTGGAAGATACAGGTTACAAGGGAAAAGAAAGAGCAACCTTCCTCTCCCCTTGCTATCTGCTGTCAGAATCAGCAGCAGCTCTAACTTCCCAATCCTTATAGGGATTTGCACCGGAGTTTTACTGGAGTTTAAGATATGGTGACAGCAATGCTATCAGAGTGGAACCTTGTGAGGACTGACATCCATTATAAAAGCACAAAGAAACAGCCTTTGTGCAGGAACTGTGTAGAAACCTAATGCCACAAAGCAAAGAAATGGACTCAGAGCTTTTTCATTGCCTTTCTGGTGGTGCTGGCTGTAGACCAGCTTGGATCATCAAACACATTGTGTCATCTTCAGAGCAATGGGGAAAGAGTATCTTCATGGGGCACAAGCAAAGGTGAGATTAAAGAAAGACATCCCAAGCACTTTTTTTTTTCAGAATCACTGCTATTGTTAGGGTTCTTTTTCCTCCTTTTACTGTACATGAGCTACTGTTAGATTGCTGTTTTTTGGGTTTTTTTTGGGGTTATTTTATTTTATTTAATGCTGTAGATTGATTTTCTAAAAAGTGGGGGAAAATCCAATTTAAGACGAGTAAATCATTTAACTTCCCATTACTTTCCTTTTCCTAAGGTATATTAAGTTTTATGGTTAATGCATTTCTATGTGCAGGGAACCTTTGGCCGTGGAAAAGTCTGACTGGGTTTCTCATGCTAAGGAATCTCTTGCCAAAGAACCTGACCTGAGGCTTGCTGATGCACAAATGCTGACACGTGCCACCTCCCCATCCTGCTTAGTCTACAAGTCAAACCTGCTGCCTCTGTTTGCCCAGGTTTCGCCATCGCTTTTATGATTGTGAATCTTCAGAGAGCGGTTCATTGGCCTGCAAAATAATATTGTTCAACAGCTCCAGCGTGGGACAGCTGGGCGTGGTGAAAGCCACTAGAAACACGTCTTCTTTCTTGTCCTTCCTTGTACAACTTGTCATTTAACAGACCTCAGGCTCGGATTTGCAGAACGTTGCATGGAATTTGCAGATGGAGAAGATGAGCACTGCTTTGTTTGCTGCACAGAGAGTTGTGTCTCTGTCAGCTTATAGGAGCTTGTGCAACCCTGCCTCTGTGTGCAAGCAGCTTGTCTGATCACCCAGAGGAGATGGAAGACAGGCATTTCTGGAGAGAGCCCAGCCAGGGTAAGAGAGACAGCTGTCACCCACCCAGCTGCACTCTGCTTTAATTCCACCCTCACTGCACACAGCCGTGCTGCTGGTATTATAGCAAATGGCACTGGGCAACGTAAAGGAAAATAAGGACAAAACAGAAATCATGTTAAGCCGTCCTGAACTTCTTCAATGTGAGCAATCCAGGGACTTGGAACAACCTTCTGCGGGACGTCTTGACATCTCCGGTGTGGAAATCCAGGTGGTGCTCCTGGGCTGGTGCTAAGCTGCTGGTTGGAGCAGGCCCTGGTGCCAGGCTGAGATGCGGTGCATCCGACCTGCTTAGAAAGCCCATCAAAGTAAGTAGCAGAAAGATGTTCTGGCTTTTGAAAGGCACTTTTTAAAAATTTGATTATAAATTCAGCCACATGCTTGGCAAGAGCAAAAAGAAGCTGTAAAGTCAGCCATTTCACTCTCAAAAGTTTCCATCAAAGATGAGACAAAGGCCAAATAAAAATGGCGTGGATGGAGGGAAGGGAGCATAATAGATATTGGAAGTTGTTATTAATCAGACTAATTAGGTAATCAAAATACTTAAACCGTAAAGACATAAAAAAGAAATTAGCTCTGTCCGTATCTCTGGACTGTATCTCTACAGTTATATTAAGAGAGATTGCTCTGTATTAATAGTTGTGCAGAAATGCTGAGCTCTCAGTGAATGCCAGACTCCAATACGGTCTCCTAGAATAAAAAAGCTAAGTGTTACATTTTTTAGTGTTTCTGTGGAGTACAAGGCTTAGTTAATTACTGGACTCCAGTGTGCTTTCTTACATTCCTTTCACTGCCTTTCACTTCTCTTTGCTTCCTCAAGGCTAATCTGTGGGATTTTAAAAATGTGACTCATGTCAAATTCTCTGAAGTTCATCTCTGCTAATCTTACAAGTCAGACATAATCTCCACCATCAGCTTTGTGTCTAACTCAGAAAATCTGCATTCCTGAATATTTGTTTTCATCCAAAAGCTTTGTGAGCCTGTGGCAGTACTGAAAAATATGTTTTCTCCAATCTGAATGAAATGAAATTATTGATTTTGCCATTTAGCAGCAGTTATAAAGTTCTCATCTGGCAATGGCGCAATGCCCAGGGAGGTGCTGCATCCCTGGAGGTGCTCAAGATCCATGGAGGTGTGGTACTGAGGGTCGTGGTTACTGGGCATGGGGGGGATGAGGGCTGGACCTGATGATCTTGAGGTTTTCTCCTACCATGATGATTCTGTGATTCTACGTTCATGTTCATTTAGCCTGTAATAGAGCCACCTTCTTCTGCTCTGTTTTGGCAAGTGCTACAGATTCATGTATGGTAAATCTAGTAGTGAAGAACTGCATGAACTTTTCTCTTCAAGTCAAGTGCTATGCAAGTTCCATTCAGGTAATTATTGCCTTCTGATTGCTATCTAATACTCTAATACATATATTTTATATATATATATATATATATATCCTGGGACACAGGAAGATGTTTGTAACACAAGTCCACACCAGGGAAATACTAAACTAATATTTCACAATGGGATATGGAGGTGCTGACATTTGCTAAGTGTAGCCAACTGAAGAGATGCAGTGAGGTGGGGAGAAGGGAGCTGCTCAAAATGCCTTGCTGAATAACCTCTCACTCTGTACTGATTTGCAGCAGCACAGTGAGTTGCTGCCTGCAGCAGTGCTGAGCTGCAATTGCTGGTCATGGCTCCTTTGCTTGGGGTGAAAGCAGTAACTACCTGGCAGAGAGCAGCCTTAGTAATAAAAGCACTGAGGGACTGGCTCGTTTCTTTTGCTTTATTTTAGTGGTTGAGAGTAGCTGTCCTTTATGTCCTGCTGGCTTGCAGTGGTAGGGAACATTTGCAAAGTCACCTTGAGCTACTGCTGAGCTCCCAAGATTTGGCCATGCAGTGTCTGTTACGCTGACAGCAGAAGCATGCAGCAAAGCAAAGGCTGCAGATCCACAGCAGTTTTGCAGTCCATTTAAATCTGGAAAGGAGATGTTGCTGCCTCGATTGTTTTTAATCCCTGCAATTAAGTCCCTCCAGTCCAGATCACTTGGAAAATGCAGTAGTGATAACCATCAGGAGCTATGCTGGGAGCAGTGGTGCTTGTGTAACACTTGCTGCCCACCTCACTGGGTGTGCAGTGCTCCCAGGCACGGCCCAGCTGTGGAGACAGCCCCATGCCTCCCCAGGCCTAAGTCCTTCACTTCCCAGATTTCAGAAGAAGCAAAGGGAAACAATGGCATGGAAATAAGGGAGGGGAAGGCATTACAGACATTAGCACTGCTCCTACAACAGCAACTTACTGAGAAGACCAGGTGCGTTTGCTGATCACCTTTCCAAAGCTCATTTGTGATGCTGAGTTTCATTACATACATAAAGTGTTTTTGTTTGGTTGGTTTTGTTTTAATTTTAAGTGTTCTTATTTAAGTGATTCATCTTGTGCAAATTCACCAGGTAAAGTCTCTTCATTTTACTGGGAGTACTGAGGACACCATATATAATTTTTTAATGCTCAAAATGGAGGCCAGCAGCCACACAGACCAGAGAATGTGAAATTGGAGTGTGAAAGCAAAGACACTAACCACATGAAATGTAATATGCACTTCCATCTGTACTGGAAAAGGGAGTAGAGATCAGCAATTTCATTGCACACCCCATCAGCACACAGTCCTCACACGGTAAACCACTGATTTCAGTCATTTGTCACATCAAAAGGAGAGGACACTAACAAAGAAAGTTCTGCATTAGGATCAGGCCTTTTTCAGTCCCTTCATATAGTGATGGATGACCACAGTATTTTGCATGGCTCTTTGAGAAGTCTGTACGAGTGTTTAATGTGTCTTGGAGGCTGTAACACAACAGAAAGCATGACAATGACAGCAAAGCAGCAAGGTTCTAGGCTGCAACAAGTGAGGAATTGCTGAAACTCAACAGCCACGGGCACAGAAATAAAGGAAAGAAGCTGCTTACTTTCAGAAGGCATCAGGTATGCCGGGATCTCCAGCAAGATGCCCTCACCTCCACTGCCAACCCTTAAATGAGGTCTGGGAAGGGGTGGATCCTGGCTCCATCCCTGAACTCCCCTGGGTTGGCCCTGCCTTCCCACCAGGTGCTCAATCACTGCTTCAGGCCATGAAAACATTTCCACAATAGAGGCTGACTAAGCTATCATACAAAGACAATTCCATCTGTGCTGTAACGATCACTTGTTACGTGTGGTTATCCAAATAGTGCCACGGTCCTGAACAGCTTTCTACTGTAGCCATCCACAAGCAGTGTTCCTGACAATTAATCCCCACTGATGGTATGAAATCAAACAGCCTTTCTCGTTTATATCTACAGCTCTTTATTTGGTTACGCTACTGTAAAATGGCAACCTAGTCACTTCAACTAATAGGACACAAGAAACATTAATGCCTACAAGATGCTGTAGTTGGAGATTTTCTTATGTTCATGTTAGTACTTGACATTTCTTTTCAAAATTTGCATTGCTATAGAACTGCTTTTAATAGGAGGTTCATATGGAAGACCAAGACACTTAACGGCAACCTGGAGTTAAAGAACACTTTGGACAATCTTTAACTTCCTTCTCTCCGTGTTCTGAGCTTTTTGGCATCTCCCTTTCTTCCAGGAATACGTATACCATTCACTTTGTCCACATCTTCATCCTTTCAGTTGGTATTATACTGTAGAAATACACAAGATGAAAGAGATTCACACAGTAATAATAACTGTAACACTGTAATAATCTAAGGCTGGCTCTGTTAAAGCCAAAGCAGCCATATTGTTAAGTTGAGCTGTGTAATTTAAACTGTATTGAATAGTTTAGTGGTACCACCTACCTCTTGTGCTCTCCATCTATTCCAGTTACTGAAATTTATGGCATTATTTTCGTTTTTTCTTCCCGAATTTGCCTGGTAAAACAAACAGATCTGCAGTTAGGACAAGACAGCACTGTTTTCAATCCTCTACATCCCTTCCAAAGTGAAATTTTATCATCCATCTATCCATTAGAAATGCTTGTCAGCATGGAATCTTTTCCCTTCCAAAACTTAAAAAGTGGTGAAGAAAGTGTCACTTCTTCTTTGAATTTAAAAACCAGAGAAACAGAACAAAACTTATTTTGTAAGATGAACTTCAGTTGCAGAAAAGCATCGATTAAATCTTTCAACTAACTTGTAAATAAGTTTTCCTTAGAAAAAATTTATAGGACAATCACCACTTCCTACCCAGCAGAAGGCTGTTTGTGCATTATGGATATCTGAGGAGTAATACTGTTTACAGGTTTAATATCTCCTGCAGCATCTGAATTTGTCTCTGGATGTTTTCAGGCACTGGGCTTGCTCAGAGGGAACTCTTCTTTGGTCTTTCCCAGGGGCAGGCTCAGACGTTTACTGAGTACCAACACAAAACCTGCCTCTCCATCAAGCTCAAGATAAATAATTACTCTGTCAAGTTTCCACAGATTTCTGCAGATCTTGTGAACTGTGCCCCGAGGCTGCACTTCTGCTGGTCTCACCTCTCTCATGGAGAAGAGAAACATACAAAAAAATGTTGCTGACACTTTTAGGTGAGATATTTTCTCTGCAAGATGCACAGCCCCATGCCAGCCTCCTGAGGAACAGCGAGCATTTTTGAACACTTACTGTTTGAACTGCTACCAGCAGCTGGATCCTCACTGTAAAGAGACAGCAGTGAGTGTTAGTGCCTCATAGAACATACATCACATCTTGGAAATAATAAAACAGGTGATGTTAATAGATCTGACCCCCCTATTTTGAGATAAATGACGATTTCCACACATACGTCCAGCCCACTAGTTTTCTGGTTCTGTTGCCCTCTTTTGTTTCATGTTTGAATAAAAAAATATATTTTAACAAGTTCTCAGCTATATTATTTATTTTATATGCGGCCCAAGACAATTCCTCTTCTCTTAATGCAGCCGGGGCACAGCAAAAGGTTGGATGTCCACGTCTAGGATCTGCTTGGCTCTTCCTGAGACCAAAGCACAGGACCAGAAGATGTACAGGCCTTAAATTCTGCTGCAGAGTTATTTCATAACTAAAGAAAAGGACTTACCTCTTCCACTTAATCTGGTTAGTGAGTAGTCCTAGGAAAGATTGAGAAGAATGTTTTACAAAGTTGGCAGTGCATTCAAAAGTCTGTGACTTGGCGCTGTGCACTTGAGACCACGGGCAGGGATAAACTCAGTGGGAAGGAGGGTGGGCAAACAAAGAAAATGTTTCTCAAAATCAGGATTGACTGTCCAGTGCCTTGCAGGCAGGAGGAACAGGGAACCAGTGCAGAGAAAGGAGAAGCTGGCTTTACACAAGTTTGGAGGCCTTGTTTTCAACTCCAGAATCAGCCTTACTGCCCCTTCCCTCCTGCCTCTCCATCAGCCCACACTGCACTCTCAAACCCCCAAATCTCACTTGAGTTCTCACTCCGAACCTTTGTGGGAAGGAGCCAGCGCTGGGCACCAAGGGGAGGAGGCTCTATCACACTCAGCCACGCACTGCTGTTGGGTCAGGGCAGGACACTCACTGTGCACACTTTGCAGGTACGTGTCCAGGCGGGATGAGCAGTCCCCCATCAGTGTCTGGAAGCTGCTGACAGCAGCCTCGTTCAGTTCCACTGCTGACACGTCCATCTTCGGACAGATCCTGAACTTGTGACTCGAAATGCTAGGATGCAAGCAGGCATTTCACCACAGAAAGCCATTTAGTGTTGAAGATTTAACAAACTCTTTTATTAAGAAGGACTCTGCAAAGATGACAGTGCATTGTGGTGTAAACAACTCTTTGTTAAGGTTAAACAAGTCACAGCTGTTAAAATTAACAATTTATTTGGCATTACCTGTTACTTACCAGACCCACAAAAGACCTTTGAAATACTGAAATGAGAAAGGAGGAGCCATAGTGTTTTTGTGAGAAGGTGCTCTGACCTATTGCAGGCAGGCTGTCACTGTTCTAGCACAATGACCATTGTGATAAAAAGAAAACGCCAGACCTATTAAACAGTCTCCAGGCTTCTGGAAAACAGCTTCGATCCCACAGGCTACATTTTGATTTGCAGCAGAGCTGTGAGTAACAGAATGCACTGCTGCCAGCACAGTCGCCAGGTATGCAGTGATTCTAAGTTATCCTTACCGTCCAATCTCAGCCTTAATTTGTGCAAGGTACAGAGATGAGCTCTTTAGAATCCAGCTAGATGTTAGAGCTGGCCCTTCACGAGACTGAGGAGTTTACTGCAGCAACAGAATCCCTGGTGGATACGTAACTTAATGTACTGGCAGTGTGGTTTTGCACCATTGAATTACGACAGACACCCAGATGTCAGTTAGGAAGTGGTAAGTTATAAATTAAATGTATCACTTGCAGGAGAAGGCAAGTGCTCTGTCAAGTCATTGCACTTGTCCACAAACAGAACCCAAACTGAGCTGGTCGTCTCCGCAGCCAAGGGCTGCTCAGTGCAACTGAGTGTGGGAATGTCACAGATACACAGCTGGGAGAGCACTGCTGTCTGTAACCTGAACCCTTACGGTCTCCATCTCTAACAAAAACATTTTTGTCATAATAAAAGCCAGTAGTTTTCACCAGAATCCAGTAACCATGTAGCTAAAGAAACTGAAGCTGTTTTGGGCCACTGGAATGGTCAGCAGCTATGTCCCCATCTTTGTTAGTTGTGTGGGCATGGTGCCCTCTGGCACAGATGCAATAGGGAGCAGCTTTGCAGACGGGGTTCCAGGACAGAGGGGCACATGCAGCAGGTTTGATCTCAGTTACCCACATCATATTTTTTCAAAGAAAACAAGTGTTTTCAGATGGAACGTACCTGTCCAGCACCAGCCTAAATTCCTGTGATTAAGATTGAAAAAGAAGAAGAAATCATTAGTGTAATTTCCAGAAAGGGCAGCTGGCTGAGAAGCGGGCACGCGAACAAAGAACAGCTGCTTACTTTGACGAGGTGGAAAGTGTTTGGTTGTTCTTTTATCTTCTGCAAGGACTGAAGATGCTGCACAAGCTCAGCTCTCTTTTCTTCCATCTCTTTCTTCCGTTTAGCGCATTCTGCCAGTTGTGATTTCTCACTGGATTGAATATCACTGAAGATCTTCTTCTCTTTCTTTTTTATCTGTGTCTTTATCTCTCCAAACATCCTTTGCAGCAGGAAAGTCACTGCTTTCGTATTGCTCTAAATGAAGAGAGAAGAAAATGGTGCACTGGCTCAGGCGCTCAACTAGGGGTCTCTACTAGATTTGTATCTGTCCTTTCAGCTTTAGAAGGAAGCAGACGATAAGCGTTTGCTTAGATTATGTGATAAACACAACAAATTCTGAAAATTACCCTGCTGTAGCAACAAAATTGGATAAAATCCAGCTAGCAGTGTGAGAACCACATTGCTAAATGCAATACCTTTATTTAAAGGATAAAAAGCTTTAAAAATATATAATGCTATGCACAGACTGTGGTGTGCAAATGACTAAACTCTGCCAGTCCTGCCACCACAATGAAAGGTGGAGTTTCCCAGCTGGTTCCTTCTGAGAAGCTATGCTGGGAGGCTATAAAAAAGCTTGATGGGAGCTTCTTAAATCAGTGTTTTCCCTACTTTGGACTGCATCTCTTTCTATTCATCTTTTTTTTCTACTTGTACTGATAGTTGAAGAGCTGGACACCTAGATGATACCTGAATTTTCCTCCTGATTTGACAATTGTTCTAGCTAAAAGATTCTATGTTCCTTGCTTACCATATTTCTTCTGCAGTTGTAATAATACTAACAGCCAGTATATTTCATAGTGAGCACCACTCCTAATTAATTAATTCTTGCAAAAGAGACAAACTAGATCCTAAAACCCAAATAACCACATGTTAAAATGTAGAGAAGAGTTGCAAAGGATTGGTTTGACTGTTCCCAAGGGCTCCAGATGGAATGAGGAAGGCAGCCCACAGCAGTGCAGTCAGTGGAGGTCACCGGCTGCCATTCAGGCACAGCTCTGCCCTGTCACAGCCTCAGCATCCCTGTGCAGCCCTGGCTTGAAACTGCTGTCACAGAGCAGCTTCAATACCACCACCTGTACGGGGCTGTGCCTGATGTTTTCAGTAATTACTGGAGTGCCTCTGCAGGTGAATCTATCAGGACAACTTGCTGAATGTGACACCACAGTATTATTGCCATCATTTATTTCTTAGAAAACACGGAGGGAAGATGCTCTGAATTAGTCGTGAGCTGGGTGCATACCTCAATCTGATTCTTGTTTCGCTGAAGCTCCTCGAGGGCGATAGATAAATAATTTGTGTATCTCAGCAGCCTATCCATAGTGTGAGAGAGGTCATCCTAGCAGAAGAAAAAAGAGCATTGAACTTCACAACAGGGAAGCAGCATGTGTATTATTAAACCAGGCCAGCCGTTTGTGGCACTGGTGAAGCAGCATGTGTGCTTGCTTTCTCCAACACCATGGTTGCAGTAAGCTCTAAAATAGGCTGTGTTACTTGCCTCCTTTTAAAGGTAGGGTAAAATGGCAAAACCAATACAATTTTTGAAGTCTTTCAAGCCAGTGTTTAATTCTGATGTATGCGTGACTTTGTATATGGTAGATTAATCAATTAAAAACCTTCCCTTTGAATAAGTAAATTTCTCTTTAAATGAATAAATCTCACTTTGTCTGTTCAAGTTCTGTTCCCGTCAGAACCTCCGCATGTGCTTAATGTAATCCAAACCCTTGGTTTTCACATCCGTCAGTGTTTGTGGCATCTATGGGCAAGGTAACAAGTGACCATCTTTTCAGGACATTAGCAATACATCAGTACTTACCCAGCTGCTTACTTTGGTCAGTCCCTGAGTGCTGTTACAATGTATGATGGCAGGTTTCTGGGTGATGTTAAATCTCGCTCTTCAGGGATGAGGCAGGCTCTAGACATTGCTCAAAGCAAGTCTGGATGTGGCTCCAGGCAGCCTGGTCTAGTGGATGGCGACCCTGCACACAGCAAGGCATTGAAACTAGAAGATCTTTGAGGTCCTTTTCAACTCAGGCCATCCTATGATTCTGATTGCTGCCTGGCTGGTGCTGGCTACTCCTCACCTGCTTCCAGCAGTGTTTTCACACCTCCTGCACGCACTAATGGCCACAGCAGCACACATGCCAGTTTTTTAAACCTCTTGAGTAAAAAATGATACCAGAAAGCTTAGTTTTTTTGTTGTTTTGTTTTGTTTTGTTTTTTTTCTGTGAGATATTTGTCATAGCTGGAAAGTTTTAAGTTTTGAAAAATGTAAAGATGAAGAATCAAATCTGACTGAGGTTCCTTGCCCCAAAAGGCTTTTGTGAGAGGAAAAAGCGCCGCTTTGGAGGAAGAGCTCGGTAATCTCCTCAGCCACCACAGAGGAGGAAATGACAAGCAAAGCTCAGCACATAGGACCAGCATGCTGGTATGCCCGTGGTGCCCCTGCCTGCCTTCAGCCCCCATCCCCACCCCAGAGCAAGGGTTAAGCGTTCCTGCCCCCACCCCCATGCTGTGCCCCCCTGCCCCCATGCCCAGGCTCTGCAGTGAGACATGCAGGGCCTCGGGAGAGGAGAGAGAGGAGGGCCCCTTACCAGGTTCATGTCATGGGCCTCCTTCAGGGTGAGGATCTTGTGGCCCTTGTGGCACCCTGCAATGGAGCACAGCACGCAGATGAACTGCCTCTTGTCCTGGCAGAAGTACTCCAGGACCTTGCCGTGCTCCTGGCACCTCCTCTCCTCCATCGAGCCGCCCATGCCCACCTCCACCAGGACGTGGTCCCTGTGGGAGGCCCTGGCGCCGTGCTTGTCCAGGTGGGCCTGGCACAGGGAGGCATCGCAGATCAGGCACGTCTTCACAGCCGGCTGGGGCTTGTCCAGGCAGAAGTCACAGGGAACTGCCTCTGCGTTTTCCGTCGCAAAGCCCTCGTCCTGCTTCCCTTTGTTGGCCAGATACGTCTCCACGATGCTGCACAGATGGAAGTTATTTTGCAGTTCCAGGGTGGGCCCCAGCTCGACCCTACACAGCGGGCAGGAGTAGGGGACCTTGTCCTGCTGCTGGGTGCTGAGCACCTTCTGGACACACTGCTTGCAGAAGCTGTGACCGCAGCGGAGTGACACGGGGTTCTTGTACAGGGACAGGCAGATGGAACAGCTGAGTTCATCTTCTAAGCTACAAGAGGCTCCAAATTCTTCCTTTGCTTTTGCCATGGCTGCACAACCGATAGACAACACCCACCAGACTGCCAGAAACGAAACTGAAAGGCACAGGGCCAGCCGTGCAGCCCAGCCCCCTGCACCCCGCCCCCTGCTCTCCGGGGTGAACAAAATGCTCCCCCATGTGAGGCGTGTTATCGGCAGTTCGCCTGCAGCCCTGTGCCCAAGTGAGCCGTGGATGCGATGTGCCTTAGCCTGGCTGCAGCAAGCCAGGCGTTCTCTGCTTAGCTGCGCTCTCCTCAGCTGCTCCAAGCACCACCATCCTGCTGGTACCCCAGGATAGGAACAGACCTATGGCAGTGCTGTGCAGGACACGGAGGTAAAAGCTGGTGCACTAGAGCAGAGATTGGCAATGCTGCTTGTGAGTGCTGTAGCATTCACGTTGTGCCGTATATCTAATAGACTAGGTTACCACCAAGTTTTGTGAACAAAATTACTTTAATAATATCCATCCAACACAGCAATCCATACAGTTCAGCAAAAGTACAATACTCGAAACAGAAGTACTGAAAACCTGAGGAGATGTATTTGATGGTAGAGCCTCATTTTCTCATTCTCTTACTCAGCCCACAGCTGCAAAAGACCTTATTATAGCTCAGGAGCAGGCCTGAAGCCTGGCTTATACTGCGCTAATGTGGCAGAGTCTGTGCAGCTGCAGCCCCAAAATATAGAGAACCAAGGTGCAGAAAGGCAAGGCAGCCTTTCCCCCAGGTCACTATGTGAGTGAAAGGGAGCCATGAGAAATGCTGAAGATAGCATAGACAGGAGAGCTTGCAGGGATGATTACTGCAGCTATGGGCACACAGCTCCTAGAAGAGCCCGAATAATCCTTGACAGACACATCAAAAAATGACACTGTCTTTCTTTCGCAGTCTAGTTGTACCCTGACCATTCTGATGGCTGTGTTAAGTAAATGGACTTTAATCTGTCTTTTATCTAGAAACACACGGAGATGATGCTGAGGCAACATTTCCAGGTAGCATTGAAAACTGTTATCAGTGACACCCACTTTCCAGCACAATGAGTCACGGGTGATCACCTCCCAGAAGTGCTGGCCGCTCGAGAAGCAGCTGGTGCTGTACACCCAGAACGGCATTTCAATTAGCACAGGAAATGGGTAAGATGGCCCAGCTACTCTGAGCACCTTGTCATCTACATGTAGTCCACATGCTTGACGTGATTTGAAAGTCAGATGTTCATGAGCTACAAAAACAAACAAAAAAAACCCACGTTATGGTTCACAGGTGGTTGTGCAGATCAACATACATCTCCACTGCTGGAAACAAAGGTGAAAGAAATCTTGAACCCAAAGTTATTAAAAGTGTATTCATTAATTACACTCTCTGCACCTCTCTTAGCTACTCCTACAGAGTTCTAAAGGGAGTGAATATCACGTTTCAAGAAATACTTCCATTTCACAGTTTTAACACAACTTTTGCTTTCTGTTTCCAACTGCAGCAACTCCCTCACCATTATCCCGCAGAGCTTCATTATGTGTTCTAAAACGCTCTCTGGATCAATCCCCACGCACAAGTATGCAAATGTTTTATAAAATTATTTGCTTATTTCATTTGAAGCCATCTCCTAGAGCTCTCAAAAAAGCCCTAAGCATTGGCTGCCACAGACAGTTAATCCTGCCCTGTTTTCCTTCATACTATCTCTTGCAAGTAATATATTTCAGTATTGCAGCTTTTTTTACTCTGCAAGTTATCCTTCAGTAGCTGTGAGCTGGCAACTAAAACTGCTCAAATGGGATAGGTAATCACAAAAGTCTGCTCAAGAGGGCAAGAACATGGGAACCAGAACTTTTTTTAATTCAGCTGGACAAGATCCTACAGCGCACAGCACATCAGTATGCTGATCCTTTAAAACAGCACGAAAGAGTACAGTTATTTAGATAGAAAGAGCAAATCATTTGTATTTGTAAACAAATTCCACCTGCTGCTGTGGAGTGCTCATCTCTCCTGTGCCACTTTGATGCCAGTGACAGAAGAGATGTTGCCACACTCTTCTCTTTGTCCTCTCAGAAAATTCCTAGACATCTGCACCTCACCACCCACAGCTCATTGTACTGGGGTGCATCCGAGTCCCACAGTGCTGACGCCCAGAGCAAGCTTTCCTTTTGTTGCACACATATGTGAAAATAATCAAGCGCAGTGTCAGCAATCAGTTCTAGAGGAACTTGGTGTACTTGCTGTATTTTACAGCCCTTTCTTAAATATGCTTTGCTGATTCTCTGTCTTACCTCTTACTTAGTGAAATAATCACTTACCAAATGATGATTCCATTGAGGACTCTGCATCCAAGATTAAGTGGTCATAAGGCTGGAAATGCTCTTGAATGATGTTCTTCATTGATTCATCCATAATAGTGAGCTGCTCTGCCAGTTCTGTGCCATCTTTATTAGGAACTTGTTTCCTCTTCCTAGAACATACAGAAAGGCATCAGAACAGCAGTGAGTCATGGGAAGATGTTACCAATCCCAACGCTGAGTGAACAACTGAGCCAAGCAGAGGGCAATGCAGTGCTGGGGACAACTCTGACTATCTAAGCTCATCTGTTCTTTGTATGTCCGCACAGGCATCTCAGTATTCACAAACTGCCCCAAGCTGGTCACAGGAATGGGTGCTGATGGTTCAGAAAAGTCAGTCATGTTGTATGTGGAGATTCACACACAATATCAGTGAAAATTCTGGGGCTTCTTCAGGTCTCTGAAGGAGAAAGGTGCCAAGCATGCATCAGTGTGCTGAAACTGGCAGCCGTCATGAGCCCAGCATAAGCCTGGGAAGCTGGGCTTGCCCTGTGTGCCAGGTGGGCAGACAGCCTGGGACTGAGGGAGTGACAGCTATCAGCAGCTCAGTGAAATGCAACAGCAGACCACCAGTGAAGAACTTACCTGGCTTGTATTGCTGACAAACCCTGTAAAAAAGGCATTATGAAAGCAGGATTAGCACAGTACAAAGGCCAACACAAGTGCTGCAATATCTCTGGGAAGGGCTGTTAGGTACCTTAAGGAAGAGTACGGGATCCTTCTGATCCCTCAGAGCCTTCAACTCCTGCACACTGCGGCTGGCGGCATCCTTCATCTCTTTGTGGTCTTTTATCCACGGCTCAATCTGAGAAAGCTGTTGCTCCTCAATGTCACTGATGGCTCCCAGGATCTCTGTTTTGCTTCTATCCAGCTGCTCACAAATCAACCTGAAGGAGTGCTCCACATGATTCCTGTGCAATCTTTCCAATGCCTTTTGAGAAAATATTTGCAAAACTATTAGGGATGGAATGTTACACTTTCCACACTCTCTCTCACTTAGAAAGGAGCCTGATCTTTTCTGCACTTAGAGAAGTATCATTTACTTCTTCCACATAGCAACATAGCAAGATGTCTCATTGACAGCAGATGGGCCAATTGACATAGGTGCCCTACTCCTGCATCTGGCAGCTGACCAGAGAACACCTGGTAGCAGTAACTGGGGAATAGTCTCATTCCCTTTGGATAGACTCCAGCTCCTCTTTCCTTGGGTTTCCAATACTGGGAAGTTCAGTGCTTTCAGGAGCACCAGAATGATGCTGCCAATGACTAAGTAGCAGTTCTTGCACTAAGCTTGCTTAAGGCTTTCAGCTATGCATCTTTCCTTTTTCTGCACTGGTAGTTTTCCATGGATATGTTCTCTTTTGCTCTTTTAAAGAAGGGTAAGGAAGAATGCTTTAACTGCTTACTGCCTCCACCAAATTGCCTTCACTGTTAGCAAAAAGCTGTGCTGCCCCAAACAGGACACTGCCAACAGCACAGTTTTGCCTTCAGACAACAAGGGAGTACTTCCCCTGTCTGGTGCCAGGACTTCCACTACTTACAGCCCCATCATTTCTACCGGTGGAAGGAGTCAAGTACATTTGCATGCCAAAAAATTCAAAACACTTTGGGACGGTCTTTTAACCTCCCATCTACCAACTTCTTAGATGCACAGGCTAGCCTAATAGGATTTCTTGTTGTAAAGAGGATTAAAATCACTGTAAGATGGCTTATATCTTTCCCCTAAAGATTTTAGAGCATGCAAATTGAAGAAAGCTGGAAAAAGAAATCGCCACCCACCTAAGAGGAAGCATGGCCTCAACAGCAGCATTCAAGTTCATCTATCCTCTGTCATCTGAAAATGTACTTCCCAGTCTTACAAGAAAACTGCTCATCAGCCTCCAAAGGGGAAACCAAGAAAGTAACTGAGAAACCAACCAGGAACTAAAAAGCTTGGAGATCCAGGGTCAAGGAAAGGGAAAAAAAAACACCAACACAACCCTAATCAGCTATGAGCATAAACCACCCTCTAAGTGCTATGGGATCGTGGAACAAACCTTTATCTTCTCCTGTTGTGACAGCAGATTTTCCAAGCTTTTATTCACTGCATATTCATGTTTTTTCAGTATTTGCACAGCTTTAGGGAAATCACTCTGAGAAAACAACAAGAGCGAGGTATGAGGTACAGACATAAGGGCACAAGATGGGCAATGTTATGGAGGTGGGGGGGGGTCAGACCCAGAAGTTTGTTCACTGTCTGCTCTCACGACAAATCAGTGCATAAAAGCTTTACAGGGAGATTTTGCTCCTCAACAGAACTCATGATCATGAGCGTGGGGACGATGCTCTCAAAACAAAAACTGTTCATACACAACAGCCACACGGAAAGAGTTTCCTTTCTGTTATGCTGCCATCAATTTTCATTGCACAAATGCAACTGAGGCTGATACTCCTGTTTGAAGATGCAGTGAGGACTAAAAGCAAAGCCACAAACACTCGGTCCCACCGACCGCTCGGGAGATTGTTTTACAGCCCAGGGAGCAAGCCCAGAGGCAACCTGGAGCAAAGCCCACACCCAAAGCCACGTATCCCAACATGGGAGCCTGCACACCTGAATCCCAGGAGTTGTTCAGGTCTCACTCTGCAGGCAGCTCTCCATATCCCGTATCCCCAGGTTTTCCCTCAAGCATCCTCAGTCTGGGCAGCTGTCCTAGCAGCCCCTTACCTGTGCTTGGCCAAAAGCCTCTTCCACACTGATGATTTCATGGCTCCTGTGGGAGCTGGTGGCACAGCACAGCATGCAGACACAGACCGAGTCCGTCACACAGTAGCATTCCAGCAGCTTGCCATGCTGGGCGCATCTCCTCTCTGCCAAAACACGAGCATCACAGGGCTCCACCAGGACGTGGCTTGTCAGGAAAGCCTTTGTGCTGTGCTTGCCCAGGTGGGCCTGGCACAGGGAGGTCTCGCAGTTCATGCACGTCTTCACTGCTGGCTGAGGCTTCTCAAGGCAGAAATCACACATGATCTCCTCATCATGCAGGTCCGAACTTTCTCCCTTCTCTCCACATTCCACTTCACGTTTTAGTTTCTCTTCAAGAGCGGCATTTTGCTCACTGGTGTCCAAAAACTTCTGCACTACGCTGCGGAGCTGGATGTTGGGCTGCAGCTTCGTAGGAAGGGCTTCCTGGGCGCTGCACAGCGGGCAGCTGACGAGGCCCTGCGGGCAACGCTGACTGCGAAGCAGCCCCTGGATGCACTCCTCGCAGAAGCTGTGGCCACAGCTGAGGGACACAGGGTTCCTGTAAACGTCCAGGCAGACGGAGCAGATCAGCTCCTCCTGTAACGCCTTCAGCACCCCCGGCTCCGCCATGGCGTCTGCAAACGCACGATTCAACAGGGCGAAGGCCGGGCCGAAAAGAGCCGCGGCGCTGAGCTGGCTGGGCGGGGACTGGGAACTGCCGGCACTTCCCGCGAGGGCGCGGTGCCCCCTCGGCTTACGGCTCTCCTTCCTGCACTGCCGGGGCCGCCCGGCCCCCTGGGGATCCCCAGAGCCGCAGCCGGAGCTGAGCGCAGCAAGTAGGCAGCCCTCCTTGAACGGGAAGAGCGGCGGCTGAGAGGTGCGGCCCTCGGCTTCCATCTGTAGCCGGTTTCACTTTTCTTTCTGTCGGTCCTTTCTAGAAATTTCTTGAGATGACCTCTGGGGCCCTCCATCCTCAAAGCATGGCCCCGTGTCACTTTCTCCCTGCTCCAGCACTGCCCAAGTTCTCACCTTCCCTCAGCATTTGAGTCAGACCTTTGTTCCTCCTGGAAACAGAAGGGAGGCAAGCACAGAATCATTAAGGTTGGAAAAGACCTCTAAGATCATCAGGTACAACCCCAACACTTTGCCACCATTCCCACTGACCCATCCCACAGCCCTCAGTGCAGCATCTCCACAGGTGTTGAACACCTCCAGGACAGTGACTGCAGCCCTCCTGGGCACCCCGTGCCAGGGCATCGCCTCTCTGAGAAGCAATTTTTCCTGTGATCCAACCTGAACCTCCGCCGGTGCAACTGAAGGCCACCCCTCTTGTTTTGTCACTGTTACCTGGGAGGAGGAAATGCTCTAGCATTTCAGAGCAGGGGAGAGAGGAAGATGGAGGCACCTTATTTAAGAGCCGCTTCCCTCTGTTCTCTCTGCATTTCTGTGCAGGCCTTCAGGCCGTACCCAGCTCTGGTGGTCTGATGCTGACAGGTGGCAATGCCTGGGGCTGAGCCGCTCCTCTGCTCCTATGGGTGTGCTGAAAGGTCCTGGAGCAGATGTAAGAACAGGGAGAAAAATAGGACATGTACAAAGAATGGAATCATAGAGTCATGTAGATATCATATGTAGAAGATCCTGAGTTGGAAGTGACCCTGGTGTTTTTGTCTAACTGTATGCTGGACAGCTGTTCCAGAAGGATACTGTGAGAAACAGTGTGAAAAGTTTTACTGAAATCCAAAAGGATAACATCAGCTGACTTCCTTTCCTCATCTAGGTGGATGGCCTTGTCATAATAGGAAATTAAGTTAGATAAACAGGACCTTTCCCTTAGGAACCTGTGTTGGCTGTGACCAATGACCACATTGTCCTGCAAGTGTTTTTCAGTAACTCCCAGCATAATTTTGTTCATAATTTTACCCTGGTTATCACTGAAGTGAGACTGACAGGCCTGTAACTACCAGGGTCTTCTGTCTAGGTCTTCTTGAATACTGGAGAGTTTGACAGCTTCCCATCACCTGGGACTTCTCTAAAGACCATTGAAAAATCATTGAGAGAGGTCTTGCAATGACACTGGCCAGCTCTCTGAATACCCTGGGATGAATGCCATGGGGTCCTATGGTCTTATATATATCCAAGTGGAGCAGCAAATACTGCACCTACAAGATTGAGGTTGGCTGGGATTTGATCATTACCACAAACAGTCCTCCAACTCAGTGCACCTATTGCTCCTGCAATGTTTGTTTCCTCTCTGCCTTCATCTCACTGAAGAAGTTGCTCTCTGCTCCTCTCAACAACAGCCTCTGCCTTCCCACTAACAGCACTGCTGCACTCCTCCACTCTGGACACAAGCACCTGGCTCCTGCATTCATGAACCTTTCCCTTTGGCACATCTGAGGTCACTCCAGCAAACGTGGCTCATACAACAGGGCAGCACCAAAGACATTTTCAAAGCATGTATTTGCTGTCACACAACCATTCTCAGAGCTCTGACATGGAGCTGACATCCTGTGAGAGGGATGCTGCTCATGGTCAGGCATTTGGAAAATGCTGAAGATGCTGTCCCTCATTGGGCAGGTGCCAGCTAGCCAAGGTCAGCATCAGAAGATGCCCCTGTGCACAACAGCCAGTCACTGGCTTCTCTTAAAGAGGAGATAGATAAGAGGAAGAAGTATCTCAGGGAATGGAGCATCAAATTTGAAGTTAGATTGACTTCCTGCTTAAAAAACCTGCAATGGCCCATGAGATCCTGGTGTTTTGCAACAACCTTCTCTCCAAAAAAAAAAAAAAAAAAAAAGAATAAAATTATGGTTTGGAGAAAAAGGAGCTTTCCAATCAACTCTGTTCTAAAGCTGAAAATCACGTTAGAACCTGGTTCTAGCTGCTTTTAATTGGTTTGATTTACACATGTGCAGAAATTACCCTTCTGTCACATGCTTTCCCTTTCTCTTTCCTAGTATTGTTTCTCCATGTAGCCCACAGCTGCCTGAAACAGTCAAGACTCCCCCCTTCCTGTCTTACCAGAAGCTGTTGGCCATGGTCAGTAGCAATGTCCGAGCACAAACTGTCCCTGCAGCCCCTGGTGGCACAGCCCTCACTGCAACCTGTCTGCAGGGGCTGGTGCAGAGCGTCTGGGCAAGTGTGCTGTGCTCAGTTAAATGCCCAAAGGAGCAGTAGGTGCTTATTTTACAGGAATTTATCACACAAACCTCTTCCTGATGATATTCAACTCCCAGTCCTGTTTCATGCACTGCAGCTGGTGCGGATGGGTGCAATTCTTCCCTCCGTATCAGCCCACTGCATGCTCCCCAAGCTTTCTTGTGACCTTGGCCCACTTCTGTATTCTTGTCATTCCCAAAAGCTCAGGGTCCTTTATCATTACTTTTTGCTCCTCTGTAGGGTTTATAGTTTATTTTTTCAGCACTGTCCTGAAATATGGTTTTCTTACCCTCAATTAATTAGAGTTATTAATCTTTTCACTGAAGAAAGAATTAATCTCCCTAATTTTCTTCAGGAGTTTAGATAGCCAGAAGGTTCTGGAAGCTGCAGGTAATGACCACTGTAAATAATTTGCTGTTATCTCCTGGGCTGTCTGCATGGTGACCCGCATGGCACAACAGTGTGCTGCTTCAGCCAAACAGGCTTTTCAATTCTTCTTTGGCCTCTGTTCTCCTTGGCATGGCAGCAACAGCCCATCCCCACGTCTTGTGTGTCCCTCAGAACAGCCACGTGTACCAACCGGAGCCAGGCTGGCCATGGGAGGAATGCTTCTGGTCCAGGCACTTCGTTGCTGCAGTGCCTTCCCCTGCCAACCTGTAGGGAGCACGGGTTCTCTGTTCTCCTTGGACAGCTGAGTTCCTGCCTGGACCTGAAATGAGTGGCTCGCAGTGAGGGATGGAGATGTTGGTGATGAGAACACAGGCTTTCACTGCCCACGCAGCAGCAGTGAGCTGAATCCTTGCACTGCCTCTCTCCGGGCAGATGCTGATATTTTGCAAACTCACTGAAATGAAGACTCCTTGTGATACAAATCAACGTGAGCAGATACAAATCATGGTTGGAGTGTGGCACGGTATAGGCAAATGTAGTTCCTCTCTGCGCCCTGGAGCAGTGTGTTCTGCATGGGCAGTAAATCCTTTGTGCTCCAGGGTACTGCTGTGAGCCCGGGGCACCTCGTGCTCCTTTTTTGGGAGGATTACACCCAGGACACGTGCACTGCTGCAGTGGAGATAGTTTCCCTCTAAAACGATCGTTGTTGTGAAGGCAGTGGGGAGATCCTTTTGCTGCCCCACAGGCTGGTGGAGGACAGATCCCCACACGGCTCCGCTCAGCATCCTGTGCCATTTCTTCAGTGCTCTGCACATGTGGGTCCTTGTGGATGTCAAACTGAAAGGGAAGCAGAGATGCTCAGACAAGCAGAGAGCCCCAGCACATTTGCAAGAGTGCTCTGCCTGCACCTCACCCACTGCAGCTGCTGCTGAGCTGCTGTGGCTCGCCCAGGGCAGATGTGCTCCTGCTGCATGGCTCCTTAAGGGTCTGCTCAGCCAACACTGGGTGTAGCCCACTGTGCCATGCAGGCAACAAGAGCCTGAGGCACAGCAGCCTCACCCCCACCCAGCACTGAGGTGGGCATTTGAGGAGAGGGATTGGTTGGGAAATGGTATCTTCTTACCTGCAGGAGGCTGCTGAGAAGTGTGAGGGCTCCAAGTGTGAGTTTGAAGAGGTACTTGGAGGTAGAGATGGTATATGAAAAACTAAAATGTATCCAGCCAAGGACTGAGGGGGAGAGAAAGAAGGAACAGACTGTGAACCCACAAGGAGCAGCATCTAGAGCAAGCTCTCCACCAGCCCCTAAAAGCTCATAGTGAGTATAGACAGCATCCACAGCTGGTGTACAGAGAGAGCAAAGTTTGGCAGGGCAAAGAACATCAAGATGGGCGAGACAGGCAGCAGCTGCTGGCAGAGGTCAGTGACACTGGGAGAGTAAGGCAGAGGTCCCTGAGCTGACAAGAGGCAAAAAAAACACCAAAGCCTTCCCCAGCCTTCCCTCTAAAGACACACATCAGATCTGGCCAAGTCAAGATGGAGAAATCCCAAGTGGGCAAATGTGGGCTCCAGAGCCCCGACCGGAACCTTACAGTGCCAGCGCTGAGTTCCCCTGCAGGGCTGGGAGCTCAGAGCACAGCCAGCCCTGCTCAAGGTCAGGTGTTCAGAAGATGCTGAAGATGCTGCCCTCGTTGATTCCAGCCAGCCAAGGTCAGCATCAGAGGCTGTCCCCGTGCACAACAGCCAGTCACTGGCCCCTCTCCCTCCCACAGGGCAAGCTGTGCCTGCTGTCTGGTTTTGCCTGACTGATAGAGCAGGCACTGAAGCTACAAATGCATTCCCAGGTGTGTGAGAAGAAGTTGGTTTACCAGAAAGCTATGCCAAAATAGCAAACCATTGTGCTGGTTTTGTTGTAATTTTTTGTTTCTGTTGTTTTTTTCTCAAATGGATGAGTGTAACTTTTGGAGTTTGTACACAACCCCACGTCCCCACAGCCAGGCCAGTGCACACCAGCCTACTGCCACATCCTGCTGCACGGAACGCCTGCTTGGTACCCTGACATACCAGCAGCACAGACTCACTGCTCGTGATCGGTTTGTTTCCCAGTTTGTAGTATATATGTTATCGTTTATTTATAGGCAGATCACTTCACTATTTACAGTACATGAGCGTAGAGATTCTACAGTCTTTGTGATGTAAACAAGTAACTCCGCAGCAGGGGAGTCTGGAAAAAGAAGCCAGTTCTGAAGTATTTACACAATTTAAAATAGAACTTTTATACCCACTGGATAGATATAGATAATACATCGAGCGATTTGGTTAAATTATCTATGAAACTATAGAATCTGACAATGTAAAAATACAAGAAAACGTTCTCTCGTTTTAGAAGGTAGACAGTTAAATCACACTAGAAATAAATCTCTGTTTAAAAATAATAACAATAATAATAATAAAGGAAAGGCATAGGAATCCATGCCATCTTTTAAGGTTAAAGTATATTACATAAATAAGGACACAACGGAACGGAACTGGGGGGGGGGGGGGGGGAACAAAAAAGTGAAATATAAAAAACCGCTACCAATTAAAAAAAATCAGACTAAAAACTTGATTCTTAATCACAGAGGGATCAACTCTGCCACTCCGACTTACTCTGCAAGCAGAAAATCACAGAGTTAAGCAGTACTTACTCAGCACGAGGAAGGGGGCAGAACTGGCCCCTAATAATTATCAGCAGTGTCCTTTTAGTTAATTAAAAAAAAAAAATTAGCTTTTATTATAAATAACAAAGCAGATGTGCCCCTTTTTAGGTGAAATTCTTACACCTTTCTTGAGAAATGCATCGCTTTCACCTTCCTCTCTCTCACATGCATTCAGCCCCCGGCCACGCGGTGTTGGCGGTGCCGCGCTGCGACGGCTCCGGGGATGAGGAATGGAGCCTGAAGGCTGAGTTTGGTTCATATTGCTTGAGATTGCTGGGACAGATGGAGATAGAACAGAAGGGGCTTCAGGGCTCAGCTACGAACAACGATGGAGTTCGTCATCCAGCACAATGCCAAAAAGAAAGAATACGATTCAAAACAATCCAAACGCTGGTCTGTAATGCAGCTCCGCATGGACCAGCGCTGAAGTCAGACACTCGGCCTGCACTGCAGCGCCTGAGCTGCTGCTCCTGTGGGGAAGGCGCGCAGCCCAGCGAGCTGTGCTGACAAGGAGTCGCGGTGAACCTCATCTTTGGGGCAGCATCAAACCTAACACCTGGGATTGTCCTCTGCATTCAGCCCAGACTCAGAAACATCGGCTCCTCTCCTGTGGAGCCCCAGGAACCTGCTGGATTCCAGCCAGGAAACCTGGTATCCCATCCTGAACAGCAAGATTTTATGGGGCAGATCTGTGCAAAAACAGCGAAACGGCATTTCATCATCAAACTCTTCACGTTTAGTATCTCCCCACAGTACTCACAGGCAGCTATCAGGGGGCATTCTAGAGCTATATACTTCTTAGAAAAATAGATCTCCTCCTTACTTATTGCCTACCTTAATATACCCTTTGCTCCCAGTTTCTCTGGGCTGTGCCCCAGCGGTGAGGGGCGCGAGGGCCCTTCCCTGCACCCAGAGCAGCCTCAGTCCCTGAATGGAGCGAGCTCTCCTTGGCCCCTCCTCACCCCTGGGCGCTGTGAGCAAACAAAACCTTTCCGTTAAAAAAATAAAACTCCAGTGGAAACTTATTTTTCACCACTACCCCTGCTTGAGAGATTCTAAACCCAGCCGGCAGGCAGCCACACCTGTGCTTCTCAGGCTGAAACGCTCTGCGCTCACCAAATCCTAACCTGGGGGGAGGCATGGGGGCTGGCGAGGAGGGTGCCTGAGCACCTGTGTGCGTATTGCATCAGTGCAGGAGACGATTCTCAAGGGGAGAGGGACAATGAGCCGTCCAAATTCAAGGGAGGGGGAAAAAGAACCGAAAACCCCCAAACCTCAACAAAAAATCCACTTATAGGCTTCAGGCAACACAAAGACCACTTATTGCATCTCTTCCTATCCTACGACTGCAGTACTGATTGGCTCTGTGCGTTACAAAGTTCCCATTTGCAGGGAGCACCGTGCCTCTGTGCAGAAGTGCTGCGATGGCACAGGAAGCCGCAGGAAAGCAACATCAAATTTTGGATGTTTTTGGGGGCTCACAGAAACCAAGGCTGGCAGTGCACCTGGAGGCTGCCCCAGGGGGGTCCTCGAGGACCCAGCAGCCCCACTGTGCTTACCCTTCCCCTCTGCCAGGCTTGATGCATCCTCCAGCTGAGAGCAGCCCAGGGCTCGCTCCCATGGCTGAGCAAGGAGGAGATGGAAGAATTCCACTTGGCCTTTTTTTTTGTTTTTCTCTTTTTTTTGGATTGATCGTTTTCTGAAAAACATCAGCACAGCACAGGACAGTACTACCCACCCTAAATGTGTCGCTATATACATTCTACATAAGCTCTATAGCAATCACATGTAAACATCATTGTTGTGAGGAAATACTAGGACAGAAAAAGGCAAAGCTACAATGAGGCAATTGCCAATAGCAGATGCTCAGTCTCGGCCAGGGTTACTCGTGTATGCTTGGTTGGGGATAGGATGGGGACAGCCTGTGGCAGGAGAGACCTCTGCCCTTGCTCTGGGCTTAGAGCCAAGTGGCACAAGGACACGGCCAGCTCTGGTGGCAGGTGTGGGAACCAGTGGAGCTGTGTCACTGCCTTACTGGTGCTGTTGCATGGCTGCTGGCAGCCCTTCTGTCAGGGACAGGCCTGGGTTGGAGCCGCAGGCTGTGTCGGCAAGGCAGTGCTCCTGGAACCGAACCTCCTGCAGTTTTGGGGGCTTTGGTAATACTGCCTGCAAGATGAAATGGCATCCACACTGAGGAAATGAGAATAAAAACCCTAAGTCGCGTACCAGGGAGACCCCAGAAGACTCTAATCTATCTATTGGCAGAGTTAAGGCTATATATTCTATCTACAAAGAATGGCTAAATCCCTAATGGTCTCTGTGTCCAGAAAGCAAATGAGGGTGATGGAGATGGCTTGAGGAACCAGGGAGATTTCCTTTCCCCCTGGCCTGCTCTCGGTTGGGATCCCTCCAACCAAGGCTGGGGTCTCTCCCGCTCCCACCTTTCCCAGAGGTGGGGAACAAGTTTGCAAGCAAATTTCATGGGGACGCTGCTTGAGCATGCCTTATATCCAGTGGTGCCGGGCGGCCCGGGCCCCTGGCAAAAGGCAGGGGTTGGAGCACGCAGCGGCAGGCCAGCCAGGAGCCACAGCCTCAGCAAAGCTGCCACGCTTCCTTCACGCTGCTGGGCACGGAGGCAGCAGCACGGAGCGCGCCGGTGGTGGGCACGGATCCGGCTCACCAACCGGGTGCTGGGTGGGTGTATGGCTTATCGGGCACCGGCTGCAGAATGGGCAGCCATGCCATGGAGCCATGGAGCTGCCATGCCCTGCACACTGGCTGGAGCGGGGATGCCCGGAGGTGGTCGTGCCACTCCTTCACCAGCCTTCCCTTCATGCCCACACCGTGGCCCCTCTCGGCAGCTGGGGGCCGGGGCTCGGCCCCAACGAGGAGAATGGCTTTGACGGCAAAGTGGTGACCCGGCGGGGAGGCGGGCGGCCTCGTGGCAGAGGGCGAACGCTGGCTCTGGGGCTCTGCTCTGACCCCCATTTGCTCAGTGGCAAGTGCCTCATTACAGTGCATAGTTAAAAATCAAGGAAGCGGTACAATAAATCTGAATTACAGTACATCTGAGCCATAAATACATCTTTAAGTATATACTTCTTTTTTCTTCTTCTATTAAAAATTAGTTTATAATCCTGATTCTATTCACAATTAACAATTTCATCATCACACACTACGGACAAAAAATGTTATGGTGAACACAGCTGCAACTCCACGGCGGGAGCTGGGGGAGAGGGGCCGGGGGCTCCTAGGCTCACCCAAAAACAACCAGTCAGAAGCGGGGCGACTATTGTGTGGCAGTGAGACATCAACACCATGGGGACTCACAGACAGAAGCAGCTTTGTTCAATGTAAACATCAATTGAAAGGGACAGCAGTCTCTCTCTCGCGCGTGCGTGCTCTCGCTCTCTCGCTCTCTCTCGCTTGTCATAGACTGAATAATTTCTTTGAAAACGTAAACATATTGGAAGTGCCTTGACTGAGGTATTGAGGTATTCCTCCAAGGTTAAGGCTGTTACCGATGCAGGCTTAGCTGGGCCTCCTGCAGCAAGCTGTCAAAATCCATGGTCTCATACTTGCTCTTCACCGGCGCCGGGGAGGACTCCTCCACGCTGCAATCTGGGAAGAGCAGGACACAGCACATGGGTCAGGGATGGCTGGACGCCCAGGCACCACGCTCCCTGTGCCATCACACCGCTGAGCCCTGCCCGTGCTGGCAGGCACCAAGCACCTGAGCTGGTGTTTCCCCTGATGGGTGCCTGCAAACGTGCCGCTGTTATCCCATATCCCAGAATGAGAGAAAGTGGGAAAATGGGCTGTTTGTCCCCATTGAAAAGGAGCAAACTGGTGTTTGGTGGAGGGGCTCTCGCAGGTCAGGTTAGACGTCAGAAATTCACAAAAACTGCCAGATGCAGACGGGTTCTGAGTCCCCAAAGTATGGCAGTTCCCACGTGAGCAACCAGGTCACGGCAAGCGTGGGCGTCTGCCTGTGGAGCTCCCCTTCTCTTGCATCAGAAGCTGAACAAAGAGTGCCATGACAAAGCCTGCCACATCTAGCAAATGCCAGAAATAAGGCAGCCTCATTTAGCAGCAGCTTAACCCCTTCGTGTGCACATTTTTGCAAGAGCTGGGAGCCATGCTGGGGTCCCTGTAGCTCTGCTGCCCGCAGCACAGCACAGCCAGTGCTTTCATCATGTGTTGCATGCTGGTTCTTACCCCCTCAGAGCCCAGAATGAAGGATCGTGGGGTTTATTACATGAATAATGAGCGTTTGCACCCACAACCAAAATTGGAGTACTGCTCTGAGCAAATGAAGTATTACAAGGTGCTAAGGGATCAGGCAGTACTTGTGTCAGACTGGGCACCTAGGGGGAAATCAAAATGTATGGCTTTATTTTCTGGGCATGGAGCAGGACTGCCTTATTTTGTGCATGAAGTGAGATAGAACCACTTCACTTACTGCAGAGGGTGCAGAAATTAACGTGTGCTGTTCATGAAACACTCAAGAGTCAAAGTAACAAGAGCCAAGCAAGGCTGGATCACGTTTCTCTTTCAGAATCAGCACAGTTTTGCTCCTGTCCATTAGCAAAGGCTGAGGGGTGAGGCTCAGTGAGCCTGACTGAATGCAGGCAGGGGCCTATGGAGAACAGAGTGTGTGCTTGCAGAAATCCACACAGCACCAACACAGTTAATGCAACCACAGTGCATTTCCTTATCATTTTGGATGAAAAGTACATACACAATGCTGGGGATATTGTCCTGTCAAGCAGCAAATAATTCAGAGCACATTTTGGAGCTGTTGTTGACTGCTTTCTCTAATGACAGGGAAGGGAGATCTCTACTGGAAAGTGTCAAGCAGAAACACATATGGGAAAGGATGATCTGTGCATTGGCTGAGATCCTGTGGCCCTGGACTGGAACGCTGTGCTTTGTGGCCCGCACACTCTGGGGTCCTCCCACAAGCTGCTATCCTCCTGCCCCTGGCACCCAAAGCCATCCAACTGAGCTAAGAACAGCTGTGTGAGCTGTGCCAGAGCAGGTGGGCTTTTGCTGCAGGCTGGAAAAGCTTTAGGATTCTTGCATGACAAAGATGCAGTGCTGTTACCGCAACACGCTGATAAACAGGATGCTTCTGAGGAAGCCTTCTTACCTAAGTCAGTGTATCTGGTCCAGAAGAAGTTCCCAAGGCTACCAGAGCTGAGCTGGAAGGAAGGCTCGTTCCTCTTCCTTAGCGAGGTGCCGTTCTTCAGAGATAAGGCGGCGTGCTCTGAATACCGGTAGGTGATGAAGCCGTATTTATCCCCTCTGAACAACCAGAGAAAGAAGTGGAGTTGTGTCAGGCTCCAGAGCCATGCTAGTGTGACTCTGCTCTGTGCCATGTGCCCACGGACCGGGCTGGGATGGGCACGGTGCAGACCCCCATGCACAGGAACCTCGCCACCCACCTGTTAGTCCTGGACAGGACTTGGCACTCCACGATCTCACCGAACACCTCAAAGCGTTTCTTCAGTTCGCTGGAGCTCATGTTGCTGGAGAGGTTCCTGATGTACACCACCCGGCCTTCCCCCTGCCAGCACCAAGCCACAGGTCTCAGGCTTCCAACCCACACCTCCACTGCTGCCGACGGATACTGGAAACACAGAGTGCCAGGAGCCCCCACCCTGACCATGCAGTGCTGCTGGCTCCCAGCCCCAGCTAACGCCCCTTACTCTCATTAAGTGCCTCCTGCACCCCTCTGGCGTTTGCAGCTCATCTTTGTAAAGTCATCAGGGAATATTCCTGAAACAACTGGGGGAAAAATTCAACTATGCTGCAGTAAAATGATGCCAGATGGGCAGGTGTGAACATATGCATATATGCATGGCAGTAGAGAGGAACAGCAGCTATGTCCCTGCACATCCCATTCCTGCCATACACTCGTGCACCCGAGCTGCCTCTGCAGCAGTGGTGGTAGGGCAGCTGCAAGGATTCCCCAGTTCACCACCCCAGCTGCCAGCTCCACAATGGAGCGCTGACATGGGATGCTCTGGGTATTTCTGTGCCAAGGACTCTGCATATTGCCAATTGCCAATTGCTTCTACTTTACTTTAGATTTTCTCTCTTCCCCCACCATGTCCTTGTTTAACACTGGCCTTGCACCAAATGATGCTGAAGCCAGAGCTAATGGGCTCCAGTGCTGCTTTTCCAGAATAGATCACTGAGGGCTGTGGGTTTCTTTGTCCCAGTGCACATTTGGGTGCCCATGGCTGCAGCTCCCTGCTCACTTACGATGGCCTTTTCCTGTTTCTTCTCAAGCTGGCCCCGGCTCCTGCTGCCACCCTGACACCGCTCATTGTTCTTACACCTGCAGGGCACAAGAGTCAAGGTCAGCCCAAAAATGGGACCCTGGGGGAAAGCTTCAGCTGTCAGAAAGGAGCTTAGGCGCTGGGAACTATTAGCAGCAGAGGAGAGATTGGGTCATGCAGAGCATTCTGCTGTGCTCCAACACTGGGAAGACCTTTCCTTGATGCCAGAAGAGGTCTCTAATTATAATATATAATATAATTATGTAATTATATTATATTATAATGATATAATATAATATCCCTTCACAGGAATGGCTCCGGCCTCTGCCTGTTGCTCCCAGCACAGTGGAAATCCACATTACTTCCCCAGGTGCCGCTCTCTGGCTATGGCTGATGTTTTCAGCAGCTGCTGTTGTAGTACCAATTATATCAATAGATTTTAATTAATTAGCATTTTTATGACTCAGGCTAGCAGACCAGAGAGAGCCAGTGCTGTCATACAGTGCCTTTGGATAGTGCTGGGAGCACAGCCTGTGTGCACCAAGCACAGCAGGAATGATATCAGGGCTGGTGCTGGGAGCAGGAAGCCCTGAGATTCACACAAGGACCTCCTGCAGCAGGAAGGGAGGAGACAGCCACTGCACTGGGTCAGGCCAACAGCCAGTCTGGCCCAGGACTGTCCCAAGCCACGGACAAAGGAAGCTTCTACAACAGCACGTGACCCCAGGCTACTGCCTGCAGCTGCTCAGGGCTGTCAGCCCTTTCCACTGCCCAGCTGTACCTGAAAGTGCATCTGCTTGTGGGGGATCGGGACCGGCAGCACGAAGACCCCGAGCTGGACCTGCTCCGGGAGCAATAATGCAAACTGGTCCTGGAGAGGGGATTTCTCCGCAGGCACAGTTTGGTGTCCAATGGGCTGCCGCAGTGCTCCTCCTCCTCTTCTCCCTCTTCCTCCTCCTCCTCCTCCTCTACCAGAGAGCCACTTTCACTGCAGCTGTCGTCAAAAACAGTGTCATACTCCGGGGTCTTGCAGAAAGCCATGTCCTCATCGTCAACAGGACTGTCCGGGACACCAAAGTGCTTCGTTAAACTGGCTCTGATGTCCTGATCTCTCAGCTGCTTGATGCCATCCTTCCACACCATCTCGCCACCTGCCTCCTTGCTGCCAAGGTCCAGCCCCTGGTAGTGTGTGTCTGGGACCCTCCTCTTGTGTTCCGTCTCAATCTGGCCTGATGGCTCCCAGGACTTGAGCACCTTCCTTTGCAGGGTGCCCTCAGGCTTCAGCACCTGGCAGTAGTCATGGTCCCCAAAGGAGCGTGAAAAGGGCCGCTTGAGCACTCCTGACTGCTCAGCAGCTCGGCTTAGGTGGGCCAAGAGCTCTGTCCTCTCAGGGTGCTTCTTCGTAGCTTTCTGAAAGGTGGCTGTGTCCCCTGTGCTGCCAGTTCTGGAGCTGGGGACTGTGCTGTCCTCCTTGCCTGTCTCCGAGGGCATGTCTGGCTTGTACAGATCCTCCTCAGCAGGCTTGTACGGTGGAGTGGTGGGTGGCGTGAGACCTGAACCCGTGACAAACAAACCACAGGAGTCAGCAGGAGTCAGCTCTGCCCCAACTGACACACTCCATTCGACCTCAAAGGATGAGCAGCATTGACATCTATCCACTCACCGGCACTTTGGGATAAAAGGATGCTGGATCCCCAGCGGGACCACAGCACTCTCCCTTCCCCTTGGCCCAAGCAGCAGACCCCTAAACAGCCCCCACATCCAAACACCTACTGCAGTGCCTGTTCTTCAGAAAGATGGAGCCTAGAAGCTGCTCACAGTGTTGTGAATCCCCGTGGCTGATCATGATGGAGGCTCCCACAGCACAAGATGAATGCACCAGCAGCTCTAGGCTGAACTCAGGCTGTTCTCCAACCCAAGGAGAAGCGAGACATTAAAAGCCCATCCTACCTGCTGTACCACACAGCTCCATGGTCAGCATTGACACCGAGTTTCTCTTCCCAAAAGTAGAGTCACTGGAGAACAGCAGAAAAGAAGGAAAAGAATGTGTGTAAGTGAATACAGTCAGGAAATATAAAAAAGGAGGCTGAGAAGATGCTGCCTACAAATGTACTCTCCCACCACTCCTAGTGCCTGGCGGTGACTGGGACAAGCAGCGTGCCCTCTTTGCCACCGCTGGGAATGAGCTGCAGCCAGACCTTGGGACACATCCCCCACGCACCTGTCCTCACCCAAGGGCCTGAAGCCCCCCGGCCCCTTGCACCCAGGCGATGTGCATGGCTCCCACACCCCCGCCCCGCTGCACATCCCTCTGCTTTTTGGCATGCCCAGCCGGACACAATGAGACGGCTTTCCAGCCCCAGCGCGGTTAGTTCTGTCGACACAGATCCTGTGTGCACTTACGTTTGCGCCAAGGACAGCGTGAGACACCGGGGTGTTTCTGAAAGGCAGGAGAAGCAGGGTTACCGGCGGAGCTGCGCTCCCTCCAGCGCCCGTGGGCAGGCAGCGGCGCGGGGCAGCGGGAGCCGGGGCTGGGGCCACTGCCAGTGAGGTGATGGCATCCACACAAGGGACGGTGTGGCCTGGCCTGGGCCGGCAGGTTGGAGCCGCTCATGCACACAAAGCACTTGCCACGGACAGGCTGTGCCGGCTGTGCTTTTGGGGCACTGGCACAGCTGAACCCCAGAGGGGTCCAGCCCAGTGTCTGCTGGGCTGCTGCTGCGGCACCCGCTGCCTCTTCCTGCCATTACGATGGGGAAACTGAGGCAGGAGGCAAGGTGGGAGCGGATTGAAACAGCACCCCGACACCACAACAGTCCCCAGCTCCCCACGCATGGGACCCCACGGCCAGCTAGCACCTGAGGGTCACCCCCACCCCTCACCTGCACGCTGCTGGGGGGCACAGCGCTGGCTCTCACAGCTCTCACCATCCCCCGGGGATGCCGGGATGAGGGGCTGGGGCTCTGCTGGCAGCACTGCGCTCCCGCCATCTCCCTCTTCTGTGCCGCCCACCTCCACTTCGGCCGCAGGCTCTTCAGCAGGGAAGGCCTCCAGTGGCGGGCACGGCACGGGCTCCCCACTGGCTGCGGCCTCCTGGGGCACAGAGGAGTCGGGGGGCGACTCGTCGAGGAAGGACAGCCAGTGGCCCAGCTCAGGGTTGAGTCTCTTGGACCGTCGGACGGCATAAACGGAGCCCTCGGGCCTGCGGGCCACCTTCCCTGCAGCTGTGCCTGGGGTGCTCGCACGCCTCCCGGCCTCCTCCTCCACACTGCCAGGCTCCCCCGTTGCCTCCATCTCAGTCCCAGGGCTGTGCCGTGGCTCTGCTTTCTCTGGCACCGCTTTGGCTCTGGATTTGCAGGCTCCACCGGCCTCCTCCCTGTCCTGGGCCTGCACTGCAGGGCAGCAGGTGGGGGGCAGTCGGGCCAGGGAGGCGTACACGGGCCTGCCCAGCCGGTAGGGCTTGCTGACATCGCACAGCAGGTCCCGCGCCAGCAGCTCCTTCAGGATGGAGAAGGAGGCTGCGGGCTTCTGGCAGGCCCCAGCCGCGTGCCAGGCGCAGCCCGGCCAGCTCTCTTGCAGGGCACAGTCTGCTTTGGCTCTCTTGAAGGGGCTGCTGCAGGGCTGGGGCCTGGCATCAATAGCGTCACGGGCGGGCAGCTTCCTGGGCGGCAGGCAGTAGGTGTGCATGTAGCGGATGAGCTCCACCACCGAGTGCAGCCCCCCTTCGCAGGAGAACCGTCCGTCGGAGCCATCCTCCGCCGAGGAAGGAGAGGGCACCGCATCGCTGGAGCTGAGCGAGTCCTCACTGCAGTCGCTGTCGTCCTCGTGCTGGGCGCAGTCACCCACGGGTGGGTAGTGGTGGCTGCTGTGGCACTGCTCGGGTGCGCGGGGGGCTTTGGTCTGGGCACAGGGGGTGGCGGAGGTGAGGTGCCGGTGCAGCTCGGTGCAGCTGCGGCTCTGCGGAGCGCCTGCCTGCCTGTCCCGGGGAGCATCCACCTTGGGAGAGGAGAGAGCCAGCCATCAGCTCCGCGCCCGCAGGTGGATGTGGGCCCGGCATAGAGAGCGGGGGAAGAGCCACATGGGATGGTGGAGACACTCAGGATGACGGAGCTCCTCCTTCCCAAGAGAGTTTTACAGCTGCTCTTAGGCAGTCTAATTTGCCCATCCTAATTACCGTTACCCAAGTAGAAAAATGTCTGACGGCAGCTTCTGCTGGGGTCAGCAGGGGGCTGGGGCCAGGTGCTGCAGTGCTCCCTGGGCCCAGTGGTGCCATGGTGGGTGCAGGCTGATGGGAGGGGGCCAAGGAGCAGTTCCCATACAGCAGCTCTCAGTGACACTGGTAGAGGACTGGGCCAAATAAAACTAGGTTATCCCCCAAGGCAGAACAAACCCACACGTTTTGCTGAGCCCCACAGAGACATACAGGAAAGCAGAGGGCACTCCACCACCCTGTGATGCTGTTTCCATCACTGTGGGGCTCAGGGCCCTTCTCTATGCATGCACCACTGAGGAAATACCTTTGTGTAGGGTCGAGATGGCCGGGATTTGGGTGTCCCTGGGCGCCGGGCGCTCCCATCCCTCTGCACCTCACAGCTCGGAGGCGATGGAGAGAGGAGCAATTTCTTCAGCTGCAACGAGAAGTGTCGAGAGAGTGTGTCAGCATGGCAGCTCCTCCAATGAGCACCGTGCGCAGGGGGCTGCGGGCTGTGCCCAGTGCTGAGCTCCCAAAGCAGGGGAAAAAGGCAGGAGGGGTCTCACACCTCCCAGTGCCCACAGCTTCATGCCCAGAAGCAGCACAGGGCAGTGGGGATGTGGGGCAGGGGAATTTGCTTCCCAGAGCCATCCCCACTCCAACCACATGGGAGCTGTCGTAACATTCCATGCCACAATCCATCAGCTCTGTCCTTTGTGACAGAGTCCATATTTACATGGTGACTGATCTGGGCCAGTCTTGGGTACTCCCCAAGGCTCATTCAGCTGTAACACCCAGAACGAGGCCCCCGCTCATTAGTGAGCTTGCAAAGCACCGTGCGGATGTAACCCCTGTGTTGGGCTGAGCTTCTTCCCCGGAGACTCCACTGCAAACCAAAGGGTGGTTGGAGTGGAGTTCTCCTGAGGTCACACACAGCTCTGACAGCCAGGTTAGCAAAACATTTCTGCTCAAAAACCTTTTTTTTTGGTCAGGAAAAAAACCCACCACACACAGCAGCAACAGCATTTTGTGCTGCACCTGGAGGCAACAGCGGCTCAGCACAGGGCGACCGCATAGGCTCGGCAGGACTGCATGGAGGCACAGATCTGAAGTGCCCTGGGTCAGGCACTGGGATTTTTTGGATAATAGGAATGGGGGTGCCCAGGTCAGAGCATCAGCCGAGGCTGTGGGTGTGCAGCTCCTGTTGGTGGAAGCAGTCAGCACCTTCTCCCTCCCCCTGCAACGTATACATCCTATATATACACATACATACTGTGTGTGATATATACACCCACCTGCGCGCGGGACTGTGGGAGGTGGAAATGCACGCTCTCACCACTGGATGTCACTCCTCCCCACCAGACAGTGGGGCTGGGGGGACCCCGGGCAGGGCTGGGGTCTGGGGGGGCCGTGAGCCCTGGGAGGAAGCAGGACAAGTGGCCCCATCCCCATGGACTTCCCGGGAATGGCAGAGATTTGCAGCGAATGCTGCAGTGAGCCGGGATACGGGGAACGGGGCCGAGCCTGGTAATGCAGGGACCAGAAGAGATATCCCGTTTCCAGGCTACAGCGACTGAGGCCACACAGCCGTGGGGGAGCTGTGGAGAAGGCATGGGGGGGTTACACCCACCCCTACAAGCTGAGGGCAGTACTCGCACTCAGGCTAAGTCCCCTCTGTCTCTCATTAGAGAGCAGCGGGAGCTTTGTCCTGGGGATACAGGGTGGGCCTTAGGGCCATGATGCTCTGGAAGGAGCCCCAGGCAGCCCACAGCCTCTCCTGGCATTAACAGGGGCTGTGGGTCTCGCCATGCCACCCCCCACCTTGTGACACCCCCTGTGGGTGGCACCCACCCCCGGCCCCTTAAATAGATACTGGAACACACACAGCAGCACCCAGCTTGTTCCCGTGAGGATGGCGATGGAGGTGACAGCAATGATGCAGAACATGTATACGTATACAATACAAGTATATGCTTTGGTATTGACGGTTAAAGAGAGTTTTAAGCCTAGAATGAAAAAATTCAGACCTTTGCTTCCTATCATACCCATGCAGCCGGCTTATCAGGGGCTCATCCAAATCCACCTTAAACAGTAGGAAGTGGGTTCTTACTAGAGACAGCTCATCAACCTCGGGGGCCGGGGGTGGCTCCCCCGTGACCAGGGCGGTGGGTTTGGGGGAGGGGGCAGGCGAGGTGTAGGCATGGTTGAGCGTGTCCCCCTCTTCCATAGATCGGAAGGCAGCCAGGCCCACGTCATCTCCCTGCATATCATCCAGTGTCTCGGTGAGGGCCGCCAGCAGCGCTTCATTCTCGCTGTCTATTATCTGAAAGGAGCAGGGAGAGGGATTCAGGCACCTTTTGGTCCTTCTCCGTAATATCCTTAACATAAACCATACTCGACAAGAAGCAAACATAAAATTAGATTGGGAGCAAAGTCAGGCTCATGAGGAGGACTGCTGTCTGCACATAGCCTCCCTTGCTCTTCTCTTCTTGTTTGAAAACTAAATATCTTTTGTTCCATGCCCTAACCTTGCTCGCAGTTACTAGATCAGGCTCCAGGGAAAGGCAGCAGGATGCTCCATTTTTGGCTCTGTTTCTTTTCCTCCTGTTATTGGCACGAGACTGCAGCGCACACGAGTTCAGTGGGATACATTTCATCATACTCTGCTGTGCCTCACAGGCCTGCCTTTTGCATTTCTTTTCTGTTTATCTTTTCCCCAGGAAGTTCAGCGGAAAATATGCATCTCGTGATGAAGGTCCGTCAGCAGGACTGGACCACTTTCAAGCACAGCATCAGCACAGCACCAAAGCCAGAGGGCTGTTATTATGGCCAGGTTGGAAAATATTGGGACTTTTTTGTTGTTGTTCCTTTTCTTTAAGAACAAATTCTCCTCCTTCTCCAAAAGTGACCCTCTGTAGGCGACTTGGCCAAGCTGGCCTCCAAGTCAAGGGCCTGGGGATGCTCAGAAGGGCATGGCAGCCCTGAGAGGATGGGCACATCCAGGCGACAGCATGGGAGGAGGGAGAGTTTTGGGAAAGGCGGCTCTGGCACCTCCTCATTATCCTTACTCTGCCTGCTCCATTTACAGACAGCGAGCAAATTAATGAGAGCACTAATCAGCTGGGGAGGGGATATTAATAGCAGTCCCATCGCACCTTCCCTCTCTTCTCCACACACCCTGTGCTCCCCACGCCTCTGCCTTTGGGTCCCTGGTGCCTGGCTGTCAACCCAGCACGCGCCAAACAAATGGTTCTGCCTCCAGTAATGGAGGGATGTGTCCCCGTGTCCCCATGTTCCACGGGTACCTGGAGGAGCTCAGAGTCATCGGTGCTGTACTGGCTGGACTCAGTCTCAGAGTGCTCTGCGCACCATTGCAGCTCGCCAAAGCAGCCGGCCGAGTCGAAGTCGCTGGCATCCAGCTGGGACAAATCGATCTCAGGGAAGTCGGAGTAGAGATGCTCCTCATCAGACACCTCATACTGGGGAGAGAAGAAAGCGGCAGTGAGCGTGCAGCTGCAATGCAAGGGGTTTCATTGGGGTCCCCACACGCATCACCTCCTCTCAAGCACATTCCTCAGACTGCAACAGTGGCATTTTGGAATAAAATGGAAACACTGCACACGTGTTGAGCCCAGGATGGGCAGAGCTTGGGGTATGGCAACCGGCATGCAGCCTGTGGTGCCTTTGGTGATGCACGGCGAGCACCCAGGCTTCATCCTGCTGCCCCAACAACAGAGAGAGGTGAGAACTGTGGGCGCAGACACATGCAACACACAGGGCAAGGCTCTGCAGGATGGCTTTGCACCACTTACCCTGTCCCCATTCCTGCTATGTGGCAGCACAATGCTCCCTGTGGAGGCGCAGGCCCCAAGGCACTGCAATGAGGGCCCCTCAGGCTCCTTGCACAGGCAAGAAGGGAAAAACGGCACAGAGATCATCATCCATGTGCACGTGGGGCGACTGGAGCTCCAGGAACCGAGCTAAAAATATCCACTGATCACGGAACACAGCTGAGACCTGCCCTGATCCCACCTGGCTCCTCACTGCCCGCATGGAGCTGCACCCACCTGCCCCGCTGCCCCCATGCATCCCCAGCAAAACACGGGGCTCCAGCACAGGGTGAAAGGTCCGCGTGCATCGCCCCAGCATTGGCTGCCCGGAGGGAGTTTTCTGGTGATGAGGGAAGCAAGTTTGTTTACACAGCAAATGGATTTCGAAGCAGGCAAACATCTGAGCACGTGAGAGAGGCAGAAAAACACGGTGGCCTCCACTTGTGCGGCGCTGACAGGCTCTGCTCCGCCACGCAGCAGGGGGACAGGGATCTCAAACTGAGCTGCAGGAAGGGCAAAGGCAGTATTTCTGACTTCCTCATCTCCTGCAACAACTCCAGCTCCCCCTTCTCCCTAAATCTTCCCATGGGAACACAGGCAAAGGGCTTATTTTTAGAAAAGCCATACACACACATATATACGTGTGTGTATGTTCAATTAAAAATAGCAAAGCAGACAAATTCTCCTGCTCCTTTTGATATGCCACCAGGGAAAAGTTCTTGGTGCTGATCACAAGGAGCAGCTGACACCAGTGCTTGGGACGTCTTTTGATCAACTCCACAGATGTGACACGTCCCCGTTGGCAACGGCTGGGTAAAAATAAACTCCTGCAATCCAATGCCGTGGAGCTGCCCGAGCCAGGCACCCAGAGACAGGCATTTGGTGCCCTGTGCTGCAGTGACCCCAGCAGTATTCGCGGTGGATGCTCCTGGACTCCCAGCTCCCGTATGGGTGAGCAGTGGCCCAAAGCCCCGCATACCAGCAGGGCAGCCCTGTGCCAGGCCATGTGCTTCCAGCAGGAGGGGTCTTGTCGAGTCAGGAGCACAAGTGGGGAGCATGAGCTGGTGCTGGTGAGGTACCAGTGTGGTACCAGTGCGTACTGGTGCAGGGTTGCTCTGGGCATGGGACCTCATCTGTTCCAGCTTTCCCTTTTCCCATCCTTTCCACTTCCTGCTGCCTTGGGAGAGGAGTGAACTTTTGTTCTAATTTTACTCGGGAGTTTGTAGGAAGATCAGCCATGGGTTCTTGGTGTGCAGCCAGCAAACACCCATGGAGACATGCTTGAAAATTTGGAGGCATCCTCCAGCCTGGACACCTGGCCTGTGCTCACTGCTGCATGGCTGCAGCCAAAGCTGCAGGGAGCTCTGCCATGTCCAACTCATCCTGCAGCAGGAACAACTGCAGGTCCCCATGCCACAGCCCTACACTGTCCAGGGACACAGAGCCAGAGTCTCAGGACCTGCCTGGAAGATGTGCAGGGACCCACACAGTGGGGCTTTGTGCTCACTTTGCGGGTTTGTGCAGAGCTGCCCACTAGCCCTGTGCTGTGCTGTGGAGATACCTTGGCTCCAGGTACTCTCTACTCATTGTCCCTGGCGTCCCCATGTACCACATCTGAGCCAGGAGCAGCGACAGCACGAAGGACAGGCTGCCAGGGACATTCAGAGGTCACTGTGGTGACGGCTCTGCCCAGGCCTTTTCCCAGGAAAGCACAGTGCAGCCTCTTTCAAAGCAAAGAACTCTCCCAGCCTGTTCTGTGCCTTCGCCTAGAGCAACTGCCTGAGCAGAGGCAGTGGGGAGGCAGGGGACAGCCACCTCGTGTCTCCTCATAGCTGGGGTCTGCCTGGAAGCTGGGGCAGCTGCTGGCCAGAGTCACCTCTGAGCAGACCCTGCTGAGCTCAGCCAGGCACTAATGCTGGCATGGGGACAGCAGGTGGGCCATGTCCCCGGGCAGGTGGTTTGCAGCTTTTTCTCCTGCTTTGGAGCAGCACTAACTTCAGTGCAGGTGTTTGTGAGGTTTTATCTGCTAAGAAAGGAGCCCAGCTCTATTTCAAATATTGGATTAACAGGATGGGAAATGTTTTTTTTTTTCTCTTTCAATGTGAACTTGGGCTCCTTGGGCTGAACCAGCCAGCAGTATGTGTGGTCATGGCCGGCTTGAGGGCTCCTGGAGAGCAATGGGTTCTCCCATGCATGGCACCAGCAAGTCCATGACCGCAGCTCAGAGACAGCACTGAGGCAGCACTGGCCCTTATCTTGCAGCCTCCTCCCTGCAGGCCCTTGAAGTGGTGGCCAAGTGCTGTGCAGCACAGCTCCGGGCGCAGCAGGCATGCCGTGCTTGTGCTCAGCGGTGCTGCACGAGCACAAGGCTCTGAAGTCTGCCGGCGCGGATGGGGCACGGCAGCCTCTCCATGGCTTAATCCCAGTTAAGCTGGAAGGGCAGATCTGCACCGCCACTTCCACACATGTCCCCAGGATGCTGTGCAATCGGCTTGTCACTCACATGCCACTTAGCTGCTCTCTGTGTCTAATGAACAAAAAAAAGGAAGGAAAGAGGGGGCTTCCCAGGGAGGGTGAAGGAAGAAGCCGGAGGCTGTGCTCTCACAGGGAGCGGGGCTGTGACTCACTGCCCCTCTATCCCCACCACTCAGTGCCTGCTCAAGGCATTAAGGGATAAACACACATCCACACACAAACGGGAGACACAGCTCCAAATTAGCCCATGGAATCCCGGCTGCAAGGTGAGAAAATTCGGAGCCCCACGGGTAGCTGCCACCACAGCCCTGCTGCAGGTGGGAATGCTGTGCCCTGAGCTCTGAAAAGGAAAGAAACACCTTGGGCAGGAGCTTGGAGAGAGCCATAAACGCTTATCAGGGAAATCCGTAATTACAGACTGCTTGAAATGGGGATTATGGCCATGCGGGCGGCAGACACCGTGTGATTGTTCCAGCTGGGGCAAGGGAGCGAGGGGGCAGCGGCACTGGTGCCACCAGCACCATCCTGTTGCCCTGTGGGCACCGACCATACCCTGCGTGCCCCTGCAGCCGGCGCCTGCCCGTCCCAGAGCTGTCACCGCAGGGCTGTATCGGCTCCCGCTCCGCTCCCTGATAAGAGCATGGCAAGGGGTGGCTGCCCTCGGTGCCAGGAGGGGGGCACGGGATGGTGGAGGAGAGAGCTATAAATAAGAGTAAATACAGCAAGGAGGCACCTGGCCAGCGCTGTGAAGGTCACCGGAGCGCGTGCCGCAGATAAGCAGCCCCCCTCCCCACTGGCATTTGACAAAATGTCACCGAAGGAGCAGCGCAGTGTCAGGTTGTGTTGCTGCCTGCTTCCCCCTCTTATTTATAGGCCCCGCAGATCTGGGGCCACTGCCACCCCTCCTGCAGAGCTGTGGGGCTGCAGCACTGGGGCCTGCCCTGCTGCAGTGCTGCGTTTGGGGTAGAGGGGCAGAGAGAGCTGCTAGCTGCCCAGCTCTGCGCAGGCATGGGGTTAGGAGAATTTGACCTCTGCACTCTCTTTTGTTTTCAGTTGGTACTGATTTGTTTTAATGATTCAGCCCAGCCAGAAGGAAAAACAGCACTATCATTTAAACTCGGACAAAGCAAACATCAGGCTGGGCCTTCCTTCCTCAGAAATAGCCACTGTTTGTCTGTGCTGCTGCAGCATGGGGCAGCCCTGGCCACAGTGCCAGCCTTGCACAGCTCCCTGCACAGCTCCACGTAAGGTCCACGCACAGTTCCCTGCTCCACACACAGCTCCATGCACAGCACCATGCACAGCTCCACACAGAGCAGTCTGCAAAGCTGCATGCACCACTGCATGCACAGCTCCGTGCAGACAAGCAGCACAGCCAAGCAGTGCAGGCAGCACACAGAGCTGCTTAAGGTCTGAGGCACAGCCATAGCCGAAAGCACAATGAAAGTGTTCTCATTCACTGACTTTTGTCTTACATTAGAAGGGTATAATTAAGATCAACCACAAGATGCGAGTAATAGGAAATATTAAACATTAACTACAAACAATAAACATGAACTTGCCAGGATATCTTTGATATGGCGTAAAGATGGAATAAATTGCATTAAACTATCCTTGAGTCACAGCGTGGACCCAGAATAAAGGAGCCTGAGATAGTGCGATAATGCCCTGAGTAAACAAAGGTGTACTGGAACATTTTAAACAAAGGTGTGCCGAGTTTAGGAAGAAGGGCAGCAGCATAGTGCCTACATCACAGGTTGTGGAGCTGCATTCTAATGCTGCACCCACCGCTGTCTGTGTGGGCTCTGTGTTGCAGTCACATTGGGCACGGCCATGGTGGCCTGGGTCTTGTCCCAGACGGTACCCAGGGGGGCAGGGAGCAGCGGTTGCATTGGAGCAGGCAGGGAGCCCCTAACACAGGGGTCCCCCCAGCACAGGCTGAGCTGTGGGATGAGGCCTGCGCCTGACTCAGTGGGGAGCTGACCGTTAGCCAGTCTGCTGTCACCAAAATTCCCCACAGCGGCAACTCCTGGCTTTCAAAAGGACAGGATGAGCCGGCGATTATTTTCAGACCTTCCTCTTGCCACGCTCCGGGTGCTGGCAGCCACATGACGGCTGTGGGCAGGGGCCGGGCGGGGTGGCTGCTGGGCTGGAAGGTATTATCAACACACTTA